ACAAAATCGCTCTTTCCCTTTCAATTCCAATTCTTTATACAATCTCCAAAAATTATTCAGGTTTCTCCTCTGTTTGCGGAGTGCGTTTCATTGCCGAATCACGCTAGCGTTCAAGTCAGAGCTGCTCCCAATGTGCCGCACGCTTCTCTGGTCACGATAGAGCCGCACACGGAAGATGACTGGGAAATCTTGGAGCTCAACGCCGACCAAGCCGAGGCTAAAATCCTCAGCCAGGTATGGAGTTGTTCGTTCACTCAGCCACGGAACAGTGCCATTTGATCGAAAATAGCTTGGAGTAGATATCGAAATTCAGGCTTTATACTGTTGTTAGACGAGTAATTAGGGATTGGAGTGTGTCTATTGAGAGTTTTAGGTTTGTCTTCGTTGTAATAATCATGCTGCGTGGTTGGTTGATGTTTTCTGTTTGCTCCACTGTGTCCATTGTCACTCTGTTTGATTAAGTTTTATGTGATATCTCTAAACTATTACTCCCCCAGTTCCATTTTGATTGACTTTTAAGGTTTTGGCACGAGACTCAAGAAACACAATTAATATGTTTGATTTTTGGTATGTACCAAGTATATCTTTATCCGTTACAATACTTTTTTAGTCTGTTTTACTTACTTTAACTTTTAGTTTCTATAGTTTCAAATATATTTTTTTAGTCCTTATACGCTTATTTTTTTTTATCCTTTTTAGTCCCTATCGATAAATTTTTTTGTAAAGTTGTCTGTTTTGTGTTGAGGTGGTACAAGTTTTCAATTTTATGAGGGTAAAAATAAGTGTTTTAACAATGAGCATTGCAGGTAAAGATACAAAAGAGACACAGTTTCGAGAAATTTAATTTAGAGTAACTCTATCAAAATAAATTCGACATTAGATACACAAAGTTGAATTAATACATGTATCATGTCAACACAAAAGAGACAGTGTTATAAAAAAAATTAACAATACAAATTAAAAGAATTAAAAAAAACTATAATTATGGAGACTAAAAAGATCTATCTTAAATTATAAAGACTAAAAAGATTGAAAAAGACAAGTATAAGGACTATAAAAGTCTATTTTAAATTATAGAGACTAAAGAATAAAGTAAGTGAAACTATAGAGAGTAAAAAAGTATTCTAACCTATCTTTAACTTATAGTTGAAGACTAATTGTAGACCTTTGAAGTATGCCTTGTCTTGTCTCTTCCAACGAAGTATTTTCCATACACATGACAAAGTATCAAACCCTGACAACATGCTTAAAGAGTCTGATTACCTACTATCTGTAGGAGACCTTGTTGATACTCTAAGCTATAAGTTTGATTAATAGAGAAGAAAAATATATTTTACATAATAATACAAATAAAAATAATATAAATAGGAGGAGTGACAGTAGAGACATGAGTGGCAATAGATACTCCCTTTTTTCCTTATGCTCTTTCTTATAATATTTTTTATTTTCAATTCTTTACCTAGGATCTAATAATTATATTCTTTATTGTTTAAACTACTTTTCTCTTTTGCCTTCCCTTTTCTACCAGCTATCTGAAATGGCACTCAATCAATGTGAAAAGAAATTAATCTATTTGATCTGTGTATTGCATATTTGCATGCATATAATGCCGTGGGTGACTTGATGCAGGTCAGGATTGTTCATGAAGGGATGAGGTTTCCTTTGTGGTTGCATGGTCATACTGTCATTACATTCCAAGTGGCTTCTGTTATTCCGAAGAATGCGGTGGGTAAGATGATGCCTATTTCTGTCTGCATAGTTCATTAGTATATCATTATCTATTAGAGTGTAATATTTTTCATATTACACTCTAATATTATCATCACTTGCTGCAAAGATTATTAATGACATTTTATTTATTTTTTCTTTTATATGTATGTAATATAATTCCTCTCGAGAGGTTGTGAGACATGGTAGAGATGTAGTTATCAACATAGATGCCAAAACAAAAATGCAAACTATGTTCTTCACTGTTAGGGATGTTTTTTCAAGTTTAAATATAATTGGTTTTTGCTTCTGTTTGGTGTGCTTCTCATGCTGCTCTGATAAGTTTATCTCAGACATGTATAGGAAATGGGCAGCATTTTGGCATTCATATTTGGTGCTGGTCATATGATTTATGTTTTTATGAATTAAAGTCCCTTAGGCTTTTCTAGGTTGAGTGATTTTACTGCCCGAAACAAACATTTAATAATTTGTTATCATTGTATCATTTTGCAGGTGAGTTCCTTGCTATGAAACTTTGTCATGAATAATTTTAAAAACTTATATTTAATGACTTAATTTAGTTAGTTGCATTTGCACTTTATATTAATTCTTAGGGAAATATGTGCTTATTTGTGACTTATGTTTCTCCAACCGGTATTTCTTTTCAGCATTAGTATACAACATGATTGTTAACATTAAAAATATTATTAAGTAGGAGGATATATCATGTTGGGGGTAGGAGGGAAGGATGGTACCGTGCATAATTATTTATTATTCTCTTCCTCAGTGGATTCTTACAGTTCTAGTATAAGCAAGTCTGTTTTGATTATCTGTCTAACATGTGAGACTTTATCAGTACAACTCATGCCAGGAACTGAAGTTGCTGTTGCTCCAAAAAGACGCAAAAGAATTTTGGATCCAGCAGGAGATTCACATCTAGACTCTTCTAATAAAGAGAATACTGTTAAGATGCTGCTTCGCTTACAAGATCCAGATGGATTATGCAGTATCAGTACTCATCTCAAAGGAGATGAGTTTCGTGTAGGGCTTACTTCTATTGC